AAAAAAAAAAAAAAAATGAAGAGGGCCCTCATAGCCGTCATGGTACAGCTCTTGACATTAAATTCCACAATCTCAAATGTACCTTTAAAAAACCGATATTATCTTCCCACTCTCACAGGGCCCATCACCTCTCTCTCTCTCTCTTCTGCATTATTTTGATCACAAACTCTTTTCTTGTTTTTTTCTCACATATGTCTTTGTGTTTGCAGATTTGTGAAACAACTGTTTGATCCTCTGCCCGTTTTAGTAAACAAAGAAACAAGAAGAAGCAAAAATAAAAAAAATAGCTAGCAAAAAATGGGTCATCACACTTGCTGCAACAAACAGAAGGTAAAGAGGGGTTTGTGGTCGCCCGAGGAAGACGAGAAGCTAGTAAATTACGTTTCTACCCATGGCCATGGCAGTTGGAGTGCTGTCCCTAGACTTGCTGGTCTGTGTGTGTGAGTGTGTGTGTGTGTGTGTGTGTGTGTGTCATATTTCTCTTATTTTTATCTTCTGTTTGTTTTTTTTTTATCTTGAATGTTTCATTGCATATGATGAAATAAAAAATACACATTGTATTATATTTTATTCTTTCTGTTTTACTATTTTGTTGTCTTAGGTTATGTGTGTGGGATCATTTATTTTCTTTTCTTTTTTCCTCAAATTTCATTCAAGAAAAACTTCACACACACACACACACACACACAATGAGTAAGTGCATTGTTTGATTAACTTATTTTTTAATTAAGGGTTTCATGTGTACATGTGTGTGTGTGTGTGTGTGTGTGTGTGTGTGTGTGAATCTTGATTCTTTTTCAGCTCATGATTTTCTCATAATTTATATTATTGTCTAGGATTGCAAAGGTGTGGGAAAAGCTGCAGGCTGAGATGGATAAATTATCTAAGGCCTGATCTCAAAAGGGGCAACTTCTCTCCCCATGAGGCAGCCATTATCATTGAGCTTCACAAAGTCCTAGGAAATAGGTAAAAAAAACTAACTAATAATTTTTCAATCAAACTCTCATCATCATCACCAAAATTTACTATATGACTCCAAAAACAAGATTCCACTTGTACAATCAATCTTCTTGTTGTTTTGCATGCAAAATTACATACTTTTCCTTCCCTTTTCCTTGTGTGTAGATGGGCTCAAATAGCGAAACATCTACCCGGACGAACCGACAACGAAGTGAAGAACTTTTGGAACTCGAGCATCAAAAAGAAGCTAATTAACTCGGCGAACCATACTCAGAGATTTTCCCCTCACCTCCCGAATTTTAGCGGCTACTCCCCCACCGAGACTCTCTACATCATAAACAATACAAACCCGCGCATTACAAACAACAGCAACAACAACAATAACAACAACGACAACAACTTTATCGGTCTGAACCCCCAAATAAATCATATTTACACAACCACCCCGAATATAATTTCCCCCCTGCCCCTCGACAATCTAGGGTTTAATAAATTAAACCCCACCGTAATCGATCCCCTATTTCTGACCAACAACGATTTCCATGCCAACTTAATAAGCACGGCCGCCCCATCTTTTCCAAATAGTTCAGGGTTCAATCAAACCCTAAACCATCAAGATGATGGTTTCATTCGTGGGCCCGGCTCGCTTTTGTCGACAATAGATCATAATCTTCCTCCAGCTGTCCCGATTGAGGCGAATGTTGATGAAATCAACGTGGGGTTCAATTTTGGGGCGCCTTCCCGATCGTCGTATGTAGGGACAAACGAGGCTCTTCTCGAGGGTGTTGTCGGGTTTTCGTCCGCTGCAGCCAGTGCATGTGAACCGGCA